GGGAGAGGGCTGCCCAGGAGGGTCCCTGCCCCATAGAGTGGTGTGGGGACGTGGGGGTAGCCCTGTCCTGTCCCCTCTCGCCGGGGTCACTGTCCTCCATGGGGTCCCTGCCCCACAGGTCAGTGTGGGGACATGGGGACACCCCCATCCTACCCTCTTTCCTGGGGTCGCTGCCCTCCATGTGGTCCCTGCCCCATAGAACGATGTGGGGACATGGGGACACCTCTGTCCTGTCCCCTCCTCGGGGTCCCTGCCCTCCCCGGGGTCCCTGTCCCACAGATCAGTGTGGGGACACCCCCATCCTACCCTCTTTCCTGGGGTTGCTGCCCTCCATGTGGTCCCTGCCCCATAGAACGATGTGGGGACATGGGGACACCTCTGTCCTGTCCCCTCCTCGGGGTCCCTGCCCTTCCCTGGAGTCCCTGCCCCATACAACGATGTGGGGACATGGGGACAGCCCTGTTCTGACCCCTGCTGGGGTCCCTTCCCCATAGATCAGAGCAGGGATATGGGGACAGCCCTATCCTGTCCTCCTCCCCAGGGTTCCAGCCCTCCATGCGGTCTCTGTCCCACAGAGCAGCACAGGGACATGGGGACAGCCCTGTCCTGTCCCCCTCCCCAGTGTCTCTACTCCATAAATCAGTGTGGGGACATGGGGACAGCCCCATCCTGCCCCCCTCCCCAGGGTCCCTGCCCTCCATCAAATCCCTGTCCCATAGATCAGTGTGGGGACATGGGGACAGCCCTGCCCTGCCCCTCTTCATGGGGTCCCTGCCCTATAGAGTGGCATGGGGACATGGGGGCAGCTCTGTCCCATCCCCTTCCCTGGTGTCCCTCCTCCCCGGGTGTCCCTGGTTGTCCCTGTCCCATAGCGCAGTGTGGAGACAGCCCTGCCCATACATCAGGAGATGGTCCTTGCGTTTGGGGTCACCTCCCTTGTCACTGCACCGTGGCACAACTGGGTGCCCAGAGCCATCCCCATGGGGTGCCCGTGACAGCCGGATTGTCAGGATCCATCCCTGACCCTGTTTGGTCCACGTCCCCCAGGCTGGGGTTGGAGGAGAGGAGCACAACCCAGCTGAGATGGGGGTGCCTGGGCTGCGCTGGGGTGTCCCCACCACCCTGGGGCCACCCCAGCCACTCACCCCGGTCCCCGTGTTCCCCAAGGGAAGGTGCCAGCCAGCAGCATCATGGCCAGCGCTCCCTCGGACAAAAACCTGGACACCTGGCGGGTGAGTGGGGGACATGGGGTGACAAGCCACCCTGCTTGGTGGCCGTGGAGGTGGGAGGCATGGTGGCTTTGCAGCCAGAGCGGGTCCCCAAGCCGTGTCCCTCCATGCGAAATGTGCCTTTTCCATGGAGGGGATGGGGATGGGGAGGGGTGACAATGACACCTCTCTCTGCCCACGGGCAGGAGTCAGGCTGCCGGACCACACACTGCAACCTGGAGGTGCTGCAGGAGAGCACCCTGGTCTTCCTGGCCACCAAACCCCACATCCTTCCAGGGGTCCTGCAGGAGATCCGTCCTGCTGTGGGACCCCACCACATCGTCGTCTCGCTGGCGGCCGGCGTCACCCTCCAGACACTGCAGCGGGTGAGCCTCCATCATCTCCTCCATCATCTCCTCCATTGTCTCTTCCTCCATCTCCGTCGTCTCTTCCTCCATCTCCTCCATCATCTCCTCCATTGTCTCTTCCTCCATCTCCGTCGTCTCTTCCTCCATCTCCTCCTCCATGTCCTCGATCATCTCCTCGATCATCTCCTCCATCTCCTCGATCATCTCCTCCATCTCCTCCATCATCTCCTCCATCTCCTCCATCTCCTCCTCCTCCATCTCCTCCTCCATCTCCTCCTCCTCCATCTCCTCCTCCATCTCCTCCTCCATCATCTCCTCCTCCTTCTCCTCCCATGTGCACCTGGACCCACAGAAAAGGACACGCTGCTGTGGCTCTGTCCCTGCCTAGGTTGTACTCCCAGGTCCTTCCCCATGGACCTTGCTTCTCCGCCAGCCCCAATGGGTGATACCCATGGGTGTCTCAGGGCACCCTTGGGTGCTGCCCAGAGCTGGCACCCCTCTCCCATCCCCGTCTCTCTCCAGCTTCTCCCCGCTGGGACCAAGGTGCTGCGGCTCATGCCCAACCTGCCGTGCGTGGTACAGGCAGGGGCGATGGTCTTCGCCCGGGGCAGTGGTGCCGGTGACGGGGAAGCCACTCTGCTGAAGAGCCTCCTGTCCTCCTGCGGGCTCTGCGAGGAGGTCCCCGAATCCTACATCAACATCCACACTGGCCTCAGCGGCAGCGGGGTGGCCTACGTAAGCACGCATGCTCGGCGGGCACCAGCTCACCGGCGGGACATGGGATGCCGGCAGAAATCCCACCCGTGCCGGGTTGGGCTTTGGGGTCTCCTTTTTGGCTGTGCTCAGCCCCGATGCTCTTCTCCCCACCAGGTCTACCTGTTTGCCGAAGCTTTGGCCGAGGGAGCGGTGAAGATGGGCATGCCGGGTGGCTTAGCCAGCAGGATTGCGGCTCAGACGCTGCTGGTGAGTCGGTGCCATCACTCGGGGACACCCAGCATCGCTCCTCTTCCCCCTGTCCCACAGCTCCCATCCGGCTCGGGCACCCCATCACTGCCCTGGGTGGTACCCAGCAGGGTGGCAGAGCGAGGGAGGAGATACTGCATGGCCTCCTGCCTCCGTTTCCCCTCTTGAAACTGAAGATGGGGCCACCAGGAGACAGCAAAGGGCACGGTGGTGGCACAGATGCTTTGGCGCCTTGTCCCCTGCCATGGGGTGTGGGCGATGGGAGGGTGCTGCCATCCAAGTCCCGGACAAGGAGAGGGGAGGTTTGGGAGGTTTTGGGAGGTCCCCTTCTTCCTGACTCACCCTGGGTTCCCGTAGGGTGCAGCAAAGATGATGCTGGAGACAGGGGAGCATCCGGCGAAGCTACGAGGAGATGTTTGCACGCCCGGGGGCACCACCATCCACGCGCTGCACCAGCTGGAGAAGGGCGCCCTGCGGGCCACCGTCATGAACGCCGTGGAGGCGGCCACCAACCGGGCATGCGATGTGGCCGAGGACTAGCAGCCTGGCTGGGGACGAGCCCCTCCGTCCCATCCCCTGTGGGGCAGGAGGGATGATGGGGACCAGACCGAACCCCTTCAGGGACCCCAAAAGCCCTGGCAGACCCTGGCCAGGGGTGGGAGATGGTGTGGACCCATGTCCATGCCACATGCTACCTCTGCAGAGCTGGGACCGAATAAACGTGGGCAGTGCAAAGGCAGGCTTGGCTCTTTCTGGTCCCTTCAGACCTTGGGGGCTACTGCACCCAGCATGGGGTCACCTCCACGGGGCGGTGACAGCCGTGGGGTCCTGGGCCAGCAGGGATGGAGCTGATGCCACGCTGGCTCTACGCTCACCGGTGCTGTGCCGGGACGTATGGCACAGGGGACAGGGATGGGGACGGGGTTTTGGGGATGGGCTGATCCCAAATCAAGCCTGCTGGGGCTGGGCAGAGCGGGAGGAGGTGAGGACCATCGCAGGTGCCATGAGGATGCCAAGGGACCTTGAGAAGTGGGGAGCTGGCAGGGTGATGCTCTGGGGGCAAGCAGAGAGAAAGGCTTTGATTTCCCAACTTGGCACCGAGCAGGGGTGCTCGGTCCTCGGGTTACCCGTGGGCACTGATGTCTTCTCCTCTGCTCGGCTCTGGAGATGCGCAGACCAACACGGAGCTGCTATCCGCATCCCAGAACAACGGGCGAGAAGTCAATCAGCCGAAAAAACGCCTCCTGCCAACCCGGCCAGGCGCCAGCATCCCGCCATGGTCCTGCAGACGGGTCTTGCTCCGGCAGCGAGGCAGCAGGATGGAATCCCAGATCCGCTCTCAGCCCTGGGGGTGCTGCACATCAAGGGAGGAGAAGCTCAAAGCTTGCCTATCTGGAGAGGATCTGAGCCTTTCACATGCCCTAATTAAGCTTCGTTTGCCTGCCGGCACCTGCACGGATGCAATTAGTGATGATTTGCGAACCGCTTTGAAGATGAAAGGCTTTTTCCGGGCAAAACATTGCTGGTGAAACAGCTGGATGCTGAGCCTCCGGCTCCGACGGCTTTGACCCCGTCCCCAGGGATGCTGTCACTTTGCGAACCGCTTTGAAGATGAAAGGCTTTTTCCGGGCAAAACATTGCTGGTGAAACAGCTGGATGCTGAGCCTCCGGCTCCGACGGCTTTGACCCCGTCCCCAGGGATGCCGTCACCCCAGACGCCGGTGGCACCAAGCCAAGAGAGATGCTGCAGCGCTACGGCGCTGCCAGGTCATGCCAAGGCATGACCTCCCTGGGCACCTTCTGGAGCCACCTAATTAATTAGCAAAGCTGCACAAAAGCCGGAGACGGAGCTGGAGCCTGCCCATCTCTGCGCTTCGCTGTGTAGACAGGGAAGGGGCTCGTGGGACCTACAAGGTGCAAGGAAACAGTGGTCCTCAAGGCTTCCAAGCCACCCGGTAGCTCCTTTGTCCTTCTTTCGCCTGCTTTTATCCCTCTCCTGTCCCTAGATGTCCCCAGGTTGTCCCCCCCACAGTGATTCTGCCGATTTCTCTGAAATAGGAAGTGCTGCTGCTTTTTGATTCCATCCTTGGGCGTCTCCATCTCTTCTGTGTCCTCCACACCACTCTTTTGACATATCTGGCCAAAAAGCCTCGGCCAAATCCACCCCTACCGCTTGTAACATGGCTGACCCCAGCCCCTGCCCATTCCCCATCTCCACGTGTCCTCCTAAAGGCTTTTGAGCTTGGGGTTTTCAGGCTGTCTTTCAGAGAAGTGGCACGTTCAACCCCCAAAGCCCGGATGCTGATGACCATCATCATTTTAACAAAAAATGGCTTGAATTCCATTAATTTTATTTAAAAAGCCAACACTCGCTGCAAGTAAATTATCGCTACTGCCTCACTGCTGGTACTCCTGCCTTCAAGAAAGGCATCTCATCCTGCCTGGAGCAGATCCTCCTGGAAGACACGTTGAAACATATGGAAGGCAGGGAGGTGATTAGAGACAGTCAACATGGCTTCACCAAGGGCAAATCGTGCCTGACGAAGGTAGCGGCCTTCTAAGATGGAGTGACTGCATTGGTGGACAAGGGAAGAGGTAGGGATGTCATCTACCTCGACTTCTGTAAGGCCTTTGATATGGTCTGCGAAGAGTTACAGATGTCATCTACCTTGACTTCTGTAAGGTCTTTGATATAGTCCCACACAACATTCCTGCCACTAAATCGGAGAGCTATGGATTTGATGGATGGACAGGTAGATGGATCAGGTTTTGGTCAGGTGGCCGTGTCCAAAGAGTTACAGCCAATGGCTCAATGTCCAAGTGGAAACCCGTAACGAATGGTGTCCCTCAAGGATCTGTACTGGGACCAATACTATTAAATACCTTCATCATAGAATCATAGAATGGTTTAGGTTGGAAAGGACCTTAAAGATCATCGAGTTCCAACCTCCCTGCCATGGGCAGGGACACCTCCGACTAGACCAGGTTGCCCAAGGTCACGTCCAGCCTGGCCTTGAACACCTCCAGGGATGGGGCCTCAACAACCTCTCTGGGCAACCTGTTCCAGTGCCTTACCACCCTCAAAGTGAAAAACTTCTTCCTAAACTTCTTCATCACTGACATAGACATGGGAACGAGTGTGCCCTCAGCAAGTTTGCAGGTGGCACCAAGCTGAGTGGTGGAAGGGATGCCATCCAGAGGGACCTGGACAGGCTGGAGGAGTTGGGCTCATATGAACCTCATAAAGTTCAACAAGGCCAAGTGCAAGGTCCTGCAACTGGGTTGGGGCAATCCCCAGTATCAATACAGGCTGGAGGATGGATGGATGGATGGGTGGGTAGATGGATGGATGGGAAGGTGGAGGGCAGCCCTGTGGAGAAGGACTTGGAGGTAC